GAACGTCACATTCCCTCGCGGCAGCGGAGACCCAGTAGCCTTCTGAGGTGCAAAAAAAACCACATCATGCTCAGGCTGTCAGCAGCGCACCGCCTCGAAGCAGTAAAAGAATGAATTTTATTTTATTGAAAGAAAAGAAAAATTAAAAGCCAGACAAAGTCAACACCGACAAGACGATGTCACAGATGAGCCCAACAAGAAGAAAATAACTCTCCATGTCTCCTGCCAGGCATCCATCTCACACGTGACCCACCCTCAACTAACAAACACAGCACCGCACCCGCAAACACGCACGAATAGAGACACATTTTTATTGTAATTCGCCTCCTCGTGGGACTCTCGTGTGCGTTGTTGTTTCTCTTTCTCCATGCGGCCCTCGTCATGCCTTGATGGTGGTCTTGAAGTGGTTCTTGATTCTGCGGTTGACCTCCTTCAGGTAGCGGCAGCGGCCCGTGCCAGTGCGCCGGCGCTTGATGGCCTTGACGGACCAGTTGTAGCGGCGGCGGCTCGCACGCGGGTAGGCGCAGGCCGCACAGCGTTCCCACTGCACGTGGTACGCATTACGGCCGCAGCGGCGGCAGAGAATGTGGGTGCGCCCATGGCGCTGTCCCATAGATGTGGTACCCTTCGTCATCTTTGCGTCTGGCCTAAAAATTAGTAAAAAGACAATAACGAAAACAAAAATGTGCCGAGACGCAATGTTACACGATTGGAACCCCAGGCCATTTTGCAGTGCAGAAGAGTCTAACCTGTTTTTTTTTTATTATTATTCCTCTCATTTTTATTCTCTCTGATTTCGCTTCTTTGGGATGAGAGGGATTACAATTTCCCCTAACCCATACAAACCCAGCGGCGTGGGAGCAAAGGCAGACGCATTACATTATCCCCAGTGTCCTTCTCGTGATGTCCTTCTTCCTCCTCCTCCGTCTGGTTAATCGCCTTATTGCATCCCTCCTCCCCCGCCCACTGCTTCTTTGTCGCGCAAAATGTCGTATCTTCTGCATGGCTGATGGGAATGTGCCAGGCGAGTGGCTTTAGCTCTTGTATACACCGTGCATAAGGTTCCGGCATCTCCCAGTGCAGAAGCGTGCGACCATCTTTGCGCGAGCATTTAAAAGCAATGCGATGTCGATCCCGCCAGCGGGCAAAAAAACGAGGGCTAAGGAGCTTAAAGTGATGGTCACGCATAAGGTCGTTTGTTAACACCCATACCGTCTTTTCCGGACTGCCAGCAGCGGCGGTGTCAGTTGGTGTCGTGAGTTCTAACGCCGCATACAGCCAACAAAGATCGTCGTTGAGACCGCTTGGGGTGCAATAGAGAATACCCACGCGACGCCAATTCGCCACAATCACCTCGTTTTCTGCCGTCAGATTCTTCGATTCACAGTGTCTTTCATGCAGGAGGATCAACGGCTGCATCCCACGATGTCGTGCCTCCTGCACCGCAAGATCGATAAGCTGAAAGTTGACGGTGACATCCACAGTACGATGCTTTGTCCACATCACATCCTTTGGCATGATTTTATCCGCCTTCATGCCATGCTTCAACAACAGTGCCCGCTTCGCCTCTTCGTACCAGCTGCTCAGGCCGTAATAGCCCAAGTTAGCCCCATCAATCAGCACATCGATGCGTTGCCCGTGAGTCAAGATAAAACGCCTCCAGGCCTCAAAGGCAACCCTGACACGTGTGAGATTGCCTCGTGGTGTCATCGTCACAACCTTCATCACATCATTCAGGAGCCCTGTCTTTTGGGCGGCAGTGAAGCGGTGCCCCCTGAGCACATCCCCACAGCAGGAGCAAGTGCCCGGCTCCCGAGTGGCGTCTTCGTGAGGGAATTGAACCTCAGCAATGCGAAACCCCGCTGTTTGGGCCCACGGCTTAAGTACATCCCTCACCATTGCCTCCGGCACATTCAACACATGCTCCTGCATTTCGCGCAGCATGAAATGAAGTGTAGACACCGGTTCACCAACGGCCAGACAGAGTCGGCCCAACGCAACGTAGTCAACTGCACGCAGTTCAATGCCCTGTCTCAACGTTTCCTCATACACGGCAAACGTCATGCGACGATCACCGCGCTCACACCAAAAGTTCAAAAACGCCGAGGCACTACGAAGGTGCAGAAGCTTTTTATGAACCATGTATGAAAACGTTTGTGTCGCCGCGGAAGCGTCACCCACACTACACTGAAGTCGAAGTATAACGGCAAGAACACTCTCATCCGTCCACGCTTCCACGAGCTGCGAGGCCTGCACCCTTCGCACCAGCTCCATGCCCACATTCTCCTTGTGGGTTTGCTCGCAGAGAAACAGGGCACTCGCAAATGCCTTCATCGAAAAGACGGATTGTTCCAGGCCAACACAAATTTCTTGAGCCACCTCCTCAACTTGGCCCCTACTGACGAGCTGCCCTATTCTGCGCTGCAATTCCCCGGCAGGTGAGGAACTCTTCCACCTCACCAGTTGGGAGAAGATCGGACAGTCCGCAGTGAAGCTAATAAGCGCGCCGCGAGTCAAGCCACGCCTCATCCGCGCATCAGCACACACAATTTTTCACTTTCCTTTTCTACCCCGCCCCGAGGCAGGAAAAGAAAAACGCCAACACAGTCAAAAGGCGGCGGACAAAAGCAAAGACGCACGTGCGCGACAAGGAGGGACACTAGAGGAAGAAGTCAACTCATACATATGCCTCTGTGTGTGTCACCTCTCTCTCTCTCTCTGTGCGTGTGCGTGTGTGTGTGTGTGTGTGTGGGTAGCCAACATTTCAAATGCATGTGGGTTTGCCACACATCACCTCCACTAAAAAAACAAACACGCACAAATGAACATATTTAGTTTCTTTTTGTTTGATTGTTGTTTCAAACAACAAAAACAACGGCAATGACAGATTAAGGCCCGAATAAAGGTTTGGGGAGGAAACAAAAAATAAAAAATAAAAAATAAAAAAATGGGCGAAATAAAAGGGAAAGTGGGGACGCAGAAATACAAACACATTTGCGCACACATCCAACCGCAGAGTTGGGCAGGCAGGAGAAGATAAAAGAGAAAGAGAGAACCAAATACGCATGGCCAGAAACGCGTTCATCGCGAGGCGCCTCGCAGTTTTCTTGCGACAAACAACACCACAACTTGCACCACCCACAACGTCATAAAAAAAGAAAACACCGCCCAGATGAGGAAGCGAAACAGGGACAAGCTCCCATTGAGCACCTCAAGATATCTACAAAAAAAACCCACTTCGCGGTTCTGGTAAATGAAAATGGAAATCTGCAGCAACGTCAGTGGCAGCAAAGCCCACATCAAGCGGAATACGCTTTCACGGCTTAGTAGCAGCAAAATGAGTAGGACTAACAGAACCAAGAGAGAGGCCCCCGCCAGCGCCATCGTAACGATTGACTCTTTTTTACAACTCACCACACTCATGGCCCCCATCACCAAAAATGAAATGTTCAATTCAAACAAAAAAAGGCAAGAAATATGTACCATACGAACAATTGCTGAATGCGGCTCTATAATGCGGCCGCCCTGAAACCCAAAACATGCAAACCCAAAGCAGTTGATAGAGTCATATGTTGCAAGAGCACGGAACATGCGTAATATGCAAACCCAAGTGGTAGAAATGGCAGACACAGTCAATAGCCAATGGGAGTAGTGCTGGGGATCATACCGGATGAGCGTACCAATATCAGCAAGCACAAACGACTGATAAATGATTTGTGGCATCGCCACACAAAGCGAAAAGCAAAGGCTAGATAAAAGCTGTGCAGCAACAATATCGTGCAAAATGGCAACGCAATTCCTGTTTTGTTGTCCTTTTCGGTGCCGCACATACGTGAAAATACTTACCATGTTATACAGTGGTATCACTGGTACCACAAGAAGGTGTGGAGAAGGAAAAGGGCAGAGCATCTTACCGTAGACTACATGGCGTACCTTGCCACGCATCACAAAGATCATGCCAATAAGATGCGCTGCGTACCCGATACCATACACCAGAGCTGTGTAATAGCCAAAAGTGCTCTCCGACGCCCCACGCTTGGTACCTATCCTGTATTTAATTACAAGTACAATGCTTATCACGCAAAACAACTCCAAACTCATGTTAAGAATCATTGTAAAAACATCAACACACCACGTCGATTGAACGTAATTTAAACGAACGGAATTTAGTCGACCAGGTGGTAAAACATGAGGGTTCTCGCACAACAGTTTCAGAAACTCAAATCCGCTATCCTTCATTAACGCATACTGCTCTGAGCTAAGGCGTACGAAGTCTAGCTTCAACAGTGACAGCAGGTACTCATAGACGCTTAATGAAACCCTATCAGCCTCGGAGGGAATAACAGTGTCTACACAACGTTGTATCTCCGCATGCACACACTCGTCAGAGACATCCAAAGCTCCGGATTTAATGATCATACATACTAGGTATGGGTTAAGACGTGCTTCCTTTAGTTCCTCGCATGTCACAGGATGTTCCTCCGATCGGCTAGAGAGAGCAGCAAGAACAAGGTGACCGAAACAATCGCTTGGATTCTTGCGGTAAGCTCGCAACGTAGAAACAAGATCAATTTCAATGCGTGTAATCCCAAATTCTTCATCCTCTTCTTCTTCCTCCTCTTCGTCGGAGAGGTCCTCGGCATTCAAACGTGTAATGTAGTTGGCGGTGTCAAAAGGTTCACACCTGTCTTCGCCCTGCACAACCTGCAGCAAATACGCGTCCTGCGAGGGATTCTCCTTCTCAGCTTGTGGCTCTAACAGCGTCTCCAACAAACGGAAGGCACTCCCAGCAGCAAAACTAATAGCTGTTGTTGCTTTATTTTGTATAGTGCTCAACAGCCCTGGGCACTGCTCATTGCCCTCTTGGGCACCCATCGATATCTCCGCACCGTCTTCTTTCACAGCAAACGGATCGTTGGGTGTGACACTCAGATCCACGTCCGACCGGGCAGTCAAAAAAACGGAGGATCCCTCTCGGACCAAAGCCTTCTCGTGGATCGGTTCCCGCGGTGACCCTTCCAACAGATACACTGGCCGAACAGATATATCTGAAGAACTATGATTAGAGACACCATCAAGCATGTTCTATCAAAAAAAAAAAAAAAGACAACAAAGTACCCGTCCAAGCTTCAATTTAACCTAAATATACGCATATGAAAAAAAAAAGTTATTTAATTGGTATCTCCACGCTTTCCGCAAAAAACCTCAACGACTTCATTCGAGTAGCCGATAGCTACTCCGAAGCAGTCTCTCACCACTCATGCTCACCACAACACTGACAAAATGGAAGATGGAAGTATTGCAGACGTCTTTTAACCCACCCCCCATGCAGGCTCCAAGTGCTTTACGCCATGCCCCCTCAGACTCCGTCCACGGAATTGCCTTCCGACAGCCGATATTCCCGCACATCGTGCACCCGCGGCTCACCCAAAACACTGTCAACGGCATTCGCCATCGTCGCCACCAAAGCGCCAGACTGCGTGGTTCCCTCACACACCACGTGCATGCTTATCGCGCTCTCAACGAAAAGGCAAAA